CACACACGATGCGCAAAACTCCGCATTTGAACAGTCAATAGCAAATACTTAAACTAATAACAAAACAGTAGCTTATTCAGAAGCGCCAGATTGTCATAGCAAAGTCAGGATTACCTCCTCTCCTAGTTTCACGAAACGGTCGTCCATAAAATGTATTGCTGTTCTGTTGTAAGTAATCTTAAAGATTCCTAAATGCATCTACTTTCGGAAGGCCAAATAAAGTGCTTTTGCTTTCGCCTAGAAACACACAGCGTCTCCCTGACATGGCTGCTTCAGCACTAACTGCAGTTACTGAAACCACGCCTTCTTTCTTTGCGTGAACATTTGGGCGCATTATGCAAATATTTCCACATAGTGATGTAGATATGTGGGGGCGTGTTAGAACGAGCCGTTTTAGGGGGGCGTGGCAGAGTCTTAACTTTGATAAAGAATATCTCTTTGGTTTTGAGACTTTAGTCTTTGCAACTTCAGGGATCTTATCTATGCACAATCAGCTTGTAACACTCCAAAGAGAAAGGAAAACTTGAAATCGCATCATATTACCCCTTTAAAGGGTTAGTTCACCCAAAAATTTAAATTCTGTCATTACTCCACCCGTAAGACCTCCGTTCATCTTCGGAACACAAATTCAGATATTTTTGATGGAATGTGAGAGCTCTCAGACCCCATTCATTTTCTATGTTGTATGTACACTTTGATTCGAACGAAAACAACGTATCCGTGTGGTGCAGCTGACACAGAAAAGCATATGCTGTTTGCGTTCAGTGGATATTCTCCAAAATGACGCTAGGGTGACGCGGAGACAAATTTGAATAAAGTCTGTTTTTTTTTTTCCTTTCTTTTGTGCACAAAAACTATTCTCGTAGCTTCGTAAAATTAGTTGAACCCCTGATGTCACATGGATTGTTTTACCTATCTCCTTAATACGTTTCTGGACCTTGATCGTGGTAGTAACCTTGCTGTCTATGGAGGGTCTGAGAGATCTCAGCTTCCATCAAAAATATCTTAATTTGTGTTCCGAAGATGAACGGAGGTCTTACGGGTTTGGAACGACATGAGGGTGAGTAATTAATGATTGGTGAAATATTTAAGTACCCTTTAAGTAGCTTTACTTACCAGAGAAGTATCTTTAACTCTCTTAAGTGTAGACAATGGCGTCTGGAAGTACTGCAAGAGCAGAGGCAGGGCTTCCCCTTGCTAGTTTCGGCGCTAAAATACGGATTAAAGAAGTAGCGTTGATTTTATTTTATTTTTGGGTGAACAAATGTCTGAGGAAGAGCAAAAAGGCAGCCATTTAAACACACTTATGTACATTAAATTACTTTATTAATTTACTCACCAGATATACTTCAGCAACTCTCTTAAGCGAGGGAAAACGGCGTCTGGAAGAATTGCACCAGCAGAGACTGAGCTTCCCCTCGCTCGTTTGGGCACTAAAATACGAATTAAAGGAAACGTTGCTTTTTTTTTTTGTACAGACTGGTGGCTGTAACAGCGCACAAAATAGCCTTTACGGAGACAGAAATACCGTGTACATGTAAATGTTATGTTTTTAGGCACCATGCAGGAGAAAAAAAAAAGTGCAAAACGCAGCCATTTAAACACACTCACGTACATTCAATTACTTAAAATAACATTCTAATAGCTGTCAGTTTTGAATAGAAGTCAAGAAAGTACCGCTTAGTTCAGCGAACTAACTACACAAACAACCACGATTGAACCGCCAAACTCTCACTTAAAACTCTGTCTTAAGTCATTTAACTAACAGTACATTTATAACTATTTCCATACAGAAAGTCTATAAAGTACAAACACTGAGGTAGCTTGACTTACCAGTTGCTATTCTGAAACTGAGGGAAAATGGCGTCTGGAAGATTCTTCAGTGACAGCGCTGCATAAATACCAGGATGTTGGAAATAACATTGGCAAGTGTTGGTTACCTGTAACACTGTGATTTTACACTGAATCAAATCAGCTTCTATCTCTGATAGTGTTAATTTCTCAAAATCTAACTCTATAACGTCAACACTTTACTCTGACATGCTTTAACACTGACGAATTTGCAGTGTACGTTTTCCCAAGGTGGTGGTAAAGGTCCATTCATGCTGTTCTGAAAATGTGACCATTGAAGTAAAGATGACTACTAGAACAGCATAATGTGTAATGTTCACATCTCTTACCTAGCATGCTCCTGCAGAGCAATGTTTAGCCTCAGCACCACAGTGACCGCTGTGTTTCATCGTGGCGTGAAATTGGAAATGCGAATTCCCCAGAGGCAGCCACGCTCATTCATGCAGGAAGTGAAGTGTCAATTTTAAGGAAAGGAGAATAGAAGATGAGAGAGGGAGTGAAAGAGGAGGAGAAAGAGCCAGGGAGAGAGGCAGGTGTAGACATTGAAATGAAAGAATTTTGGCATGTGATTTAAACGCTGAATGCAAATGTCAGTGATCGGAAAACTTTCAGGGATCTCTCCGCTAACACTTCCTCTTCAAGTTGCTGAGAAGGTAATGACAGACTTCAAACACCTACGAATGATGTTATGATCAAAAACAACAAAATATGATAAAAGAACCTTTGTCTGAACGATTTGCAAACTTGAAAAGTGATGATTGAAGTGCTGTAGCTCTTCAGATCAGCAGCAACACATATCTGATTTTCACTCCAAGATTATCATGGCCAAAAAATTCACAATTATGATGTTATTGCACTATCTATACTACTTTTGGGAAAATATGTATTACGCTATTATGCTCAAATTCATCTTTAACTCCCACACTGGCAAGCTGTGGGTGTGGTGTGGGTATAGTAACTTGTTTTTTTTTTCCTGTCATCTCCAACATGATTTTGTGTGGCAGTTGTAACTACACATTTCATCTACTTCTTATTTCTGTTTTATGACGGGTGCCAACCAGTGTTAAGGTGCAATGCCGCCACCTACTATGTTGGAGTGTCAACCAGTTACAAGTGATGGTTTATTTACGATATCATTGAATGTGTAATATTAACATGATATCAATATTTCATTTTTAAAATGGTTATCATCAAAAGCAGTATATTGTAATACTCCTACAGAGAGCAAATGCTTTTGACTTCAACATATTTGACTGTGATTTATATGAAAAAGAATAATACAAGAGTCATTTGAAACTGCTTCTTGATTCTCAGACCTCTGCTGTCTGTTCACAGTGTCTGGAGCCATGCAAAGTCTCCTGGGAGTTGAAAGACGGACCTTGTCGAGATTTATGTGAGGTACAGACCGCAGCATTCTTAACAGATCTAGTAGTTTCTGGGATGTGCTCTCAACAAGAAAAAACTTGGTGTTCTGGTTTTCCAAATATTAATCCTCCATTGTTTTTCTTGACAGACTTGGCTACCGTTTAAGTGGTCTCCCATTGTTCAACATGATAATGTTCTGCTCTGATCTTTTTAAACAGTCTGAGAATTTCTCTCTTGAATCCTGTTATTGTGGCTTTTCTCTACAATTTAAAACTCTTGGCTTAGTAAGATCCAACTTTTCCTGTTTCTTTGGCTATAAATGCACTTTTGAGGGCAATGGGGACTTAAAACAATGAATATTAGTTCTTTCATTTGCCAGGATTGATTAGGAACTTCATCCATCATTTTAGACTTGTATAACATTAAGCAGCATGAAATCCGCTCATTCACAACATGTAAATCTTGTAATCATCTTGTGTTGAACATAGTGCCACAAACAAGAAAATCCATTCTCAAAGCCAGCTAAAAAACAATACACCTTTCATATAGATTTAAACTGCATGTGAACGTCTACATTTCTATGTAGAACCTATACTAGACCATATTTTTCTCTGAATTAAGTTTTCAGTCATATAATTTTCAATAATTACATTTCTAATATAAGCAGGAATAGTTTCCATAATCCACATGACCCTACATAGGACAAGGGGTTGGGAAAATGAATGGATTCTATTCTATTCTATTCTATTCTATTCTATTCTATTCTATTCTATTCTTTTTTATAGGCTCCTGTATCCCTAAAATAATAAATATAAGTTAATGTATAATGCAAATTGTAAGTAGAAAGGTTATATGTAAAAAAACATGCATGCATATACTGTAGTGTGAGTGAATGATACTCAAAGTGTGTCCAAAATCCATAGACAAATGAATGTCACATGAATGTGTCACAAATGAATTGCTAGAATGTATGACGATGATATCCAGGTGTTAAAGTTTGGTTCTGTACACTATGACATGACATCTCCTCAGCACGCATTTCCCAAGCGTCATGGCGAGGGTGTGACGGGCTGTGAGTTCCTGCGATCAGTGATGGTGGTGAAACAGGGTGACTGTCCGGCACCAGAAAGAGCCAGCGGGTTTGCAGCTGCCTGCGTGGAGGGATGTGAGGAAGACGGAGAGTGTTCAGCCCAGAAGAAATGCTGCCCAAACGGCTGTGGACACACATGCCAGTCCCCTAAGAACCTTTACAGGGGTAAGACCTGCTACTGAACCTGATGATAAACAGCTGGCTTAACCCAGTTATCAGTTAGTTTTTAACCCCACCTGATGTGGATGATACAAATAACTTGTGCCTTTTTGCATGTTCTCTGGAGCAAATTGGTATTAAAGGAATAGTTCACCCAAAAATGTAAATTTGCTGAAAATGTAATCAGTCTTGAGCCATCCAGGATGTAGATGAGTTTGTTTCTTCGTGGGAACAGATTTGGAGAAATTTAGATTTACATCACTTGCTCACCAATGGATCCTGCAGTGAATGGGTGCCGTAAGAATGAGAGTCCAAACACCTGATAAAAACATACAGTAATCCATAAGGAGTCGAAAAAGGACTCAAAAACTTTGACAACCACTGAGGAACTCTTAACTTCTGATTTTTCATTTTTCGTACAAATTAAAAAGTATTCTGTTTCAAAATGTAAAAAAAATTCCAGAAAATAACCATAATAGAATTTGGGAAAAAAAAAAAAAAACATTATGCAAATAACTTGTGCCTTTTTGCATGTTCTCTGGAGCAAATTGGTATTAAAGGAATAGTTCACCCAAAAATGTAAATTTGCTGAAAATGTAATCAGTCTTGAGCCATCCAGGATGTAGATGAGTTTGTTTCTTCGTGGGAACAGATTTGGAGAAATTTAGATTTACATCACTTGCTCACCAATGGATCCTGCAGTGAATGGGTGCCGTAAGAATGAGAGTCCAAACACCTGATAAAAACATACAGTAATCCATAAGGAGTCGAAAAAGGACTCAAAAACTTTGACAACCACTGAGGAACTCTTAACTTCTGATTTTTCATTTTTCGTACAAATTAAAAAGTATTCTGTTTCAAAATGTAAAAAAAATTCCAGAAAATAACCATAATAGAATTTGGGAAAAAAAAAAAAAAACATTATGCAGATTGGATTATCATGTGTCATATATCCTTTGAAAAGTCACACCAAACAGAAAACATCAAGCATATTTGTTGTGCAAACTAAAGCAAGTATGAATATATTGTTCTTGATAGATTACTGGATGGAATAAAGGCATATCCAGATTGTTCTTTCTCAAGTTGAGATTTGCTGTTTTTCTTGTCTTGATCGTCAGGCGCTCCTCTGAAGCCCAGAAAGGAGCTGGTCTTTGAGGAGCTGGAGTCTGGAGTGTTGGAAGTGTGCTGGTCCTCCAAGTTCAATGTGTCAGCGGAGCCGGTGCTGAATGTTCTGCAGAGGAGGTGGAACTACGGCATCCACCCCAGTGAGGATGGAGCAACTGAGTGGCAAGTGGTGGCTAGAGTAAGTGTGTGCTTGTGTGTGTTACATGGTCTTCAACAAAGGTCTCTATGGGACGGGGTCCACAGCCATACTGCAGGAGATTTGAAAATTATGCACTGATCTCAAGCACATTTTTGTGAAAAATGAAAATATGCATTATCATCATAACAATGTATGTAAATACATTAATATGGTATAGGCCAAACATAAAATTTAATTCTTAACTTCCATTGTGATACTTGAACTATTATAAATTCAGTACTGAAGTCATTTTTTTTATTTCCTTCAGTCATTTATATGCTCCCTCCTATACTCATTCATCTGTGTTTCTGTACTGTAGACATCAGAAGAGCGTGTGTGGCTGACGGACATTCGGCCCGGTCGCTGGTACCAGTTCAGAGTGGCAGCAGTCAATGTTCATGGAACCAGAGGATACACCACACCCAGCAGACACTTCAGATCCTCTAAAGGTGAGATCAAGAAACTGTAATCTAATGGGATTCTATACCATTTTATAATAATAATAATAATTTAAATAACATGTTATCCTTTCACATGTTATTTAGATTTGACATTATTTTCTGAAATGTCTGAACTCTAACCTTTTTCTAAATTTCACCCTCTCTCAGATCCTGCCCCTCCCTCGGCACCATCTGAACTTCATGTCAGTGACATGACCTTTGTTGCAGATCGCTCTGTGTCTGTCCGCCTCAGCTGGAGCATGTCTGCAGATTTAGACATCCCTGTTAACTACTACAAACTGTCCTGGAGCTGTTCTGACCATACTATACCATCCAAACTCAAGAGGAGACAGATTACAAATGGGGTAATTCATATAATCTGCCCACACACTCCCTCTCTACCAATTTGCTTTTTCTGTCAGCCTTTAATGCTTTCATTTTCTCATATATTGGATTGTTCCCAAAACCCCTCAAGGGTTAACTCCCCAGCCCCTTCTTTCAGCAAGCCACAACAAATTAGAAATCTTAGTGCAAATAAGTGCAAGATAAACAACTCAGGATTGGGCCTTTGATCACACCAAGCTCTATTTTCAAGGGCTTCAGACACCAAATTAGGGTGGTACAGCATTGCATCACCACTCTTGGCAAATGCAAGCATTTCTGGGCGCCATTTGATATACAGCCAAAAACAGCATATCAATTCTAGTTGTGCTTGAGAAAAGGAAATCTCTCAGTAACAGCTGAATTGTTTTTCTTTCAATGAGATCATGTTGAAGAGTTTATTTTTTCCTCCTTTAGATAATCCACAAGAGATGGCAGTTGCTTCATTTTTGCATGTTATATTATTGAGGGCTCTGTCATTGAGAGGCATGGAAATTTCCTCAGAAAATGACATTTTTTAAATAGCTGCTGAGTGAATGCGGATGAATGTAAACCACGCTGCTTTTACTGTTTGGCTCTGCAAGATGACAGGAAAAAAAATATGCTGCAAATTGATTTTAAACAGATTACTCTAGTGCACAATGATTATAAGATTACAACACAATCTGCAAAAATTCTGATAACTTTACAGTTCTTTTGTTGGCTTACTCTTTTGCTGTGATATATATGATTAACAGTAGTAGTAATATTAAAATGTAACTCAGCTACTGTATTAGTTCCCATGTTACTGAATTAAAGCAGCAGAGTCTAATCTGGCCTGTGGGATGATTTTGGAGAAAAATGGTGAAAACTAATAAAAAGTCGCCATTTTTTTTATTGGTGTGATACATTTTTAGAATATTTTTATTATCTAAACAGTTATACACTAAGATTAAAGTATATTTGGGGTCGGCACATTTCTTAATGTTTTTGAAAGAAGATAATTATTGTTTCCACTGAATAATTATTACATAAATATGATACACTAATGCTAATTTGATGCTTTTCAGACTAAGCAACAGGCCCATTAATTAAATTGAGCAAATTAAAGTTTTTTTTTTTAATTTTTTTATTTTTTTTTTTAGGAAAGGTTCACTTAAAAGTTCTTTGGGTTCTTCTATGGAATCACTGCAAACATCCCTTTTGGAACCTTTATTTTTAAGCAGTTTTCTTTTATTTGGCCTAACTTTGTGTTAATGGTCAGTTTTACTTTTAGATGGTGTATTAAAGCTTCTTAAGTTATCCAGGCAGACTGATAAGCGATAAGTGGTTTTCGCGTTTTCTTGTCAATATTTTTATTGAATCAATATTCCCTAGTTACTCATTTCATGCGCAAATGTAGTCCAAAGGTCTCTGGTGACTAAAATCAGTAAATTGCTCCCAATAGTGGCCATTAAAGCAGCTAAAATTGATTCTGGATATGCTCCAGAAGAGCATGTTCTTTGCATGCTGTTTTTATGATTAGACTTCACCAAGGATTAACAAATAAAATATTTTTTGCATGCATAAGTTGCAGTTTTTATATGGCCCTCCAACTAAAATGAGATTATTGGGTAGTTAAAAATTCTACAAGGGTTTACCTTCCATTTCCATTTGTTCTCTCTTTCTTTTTTTGGATTTGGATTGCCGTGACTATTCTAATCCTTGCCTGTGGGTTTGTGTGTGTGTGTGCGCAGGACTCTACCTATGCTGAGCTGGATGACTTGAGAGAGAACAGGAGTTACACTGTGGAGTTGCATGCGGTTTCATACTGGGGTCAGGTCCCTCTCAAGAGCTCCAAGGCCATTCTTCAGTTTACTACAAGCCAAAGACAATCTGGTACAAAACTATTTAATTGCTATACATTTTTTTGCTTGATACATAACAGCACTCATTTGGGTGTTGTGAAATACAGTGAAAAACAGCTAAAAATGTTTTCCATTTGTAACATTATACTTTTCCCCCATATTTGATGTCATTCAGATTTGGAAAGCACAGTCAGCCCGGTCTTTATAAAACCCCAGTCAGATCTATTAGACGTGGGCACTCCGTTCTATCAAGATGGTCAGCTTCAGGTCCGGGTCTACTGGAAAAAGAAAGGTATGACAGTTACAATAGACCAAGTCTTTCATCTAGAAAACTGTCCTGTTACTGTTTTCCTTCCTTAGAGCTGCTTTGTAATTATGTAAACATAGTGCTTATTAAAGAGTTAAGAATCAGAATTATACGTAATTAGATGAAGAACAATAGCTCTTTGTTTGGGAAGTGATAAGAACCACTCTTGAAAAAAAGTGTGGAGCTGTTTGTGTGCTAACATGAGCGGATGAGGCATGTCTCAGCCTAACTTTGCATGAAGCAAATTACATTTAAACAGTTTCATTCTGTCAGTGAGTGATGAGATAATCCTCCATTAAACTCGCAAATGAAAACTGTCATAGAAGTGACAACATTTTAGTCATACTAAGCCATGCAAAATGGTGCTTGAAATCTTCTTATTGACCTCTGTTTTGAATTTCAGTAAGACTTAAGAGTCATACTGGCCACATGTCAAATCCCTTAATCTCTCTAATGGATGTCCAGCAGATTTATCTCACACTGATCTGTCAGGCACATTATCAAGTTTGCTTTGCTTTGCATATTTTGCTTTGTTTTGCATATTCTCTGGATGAATAAAAAGCATTGATTTCTACAGGGCGTATTACTGAGCAGTGATTACTTGTAAGGTCTAAATGGATCATCACTGATGATTATCATTAACTGTTTGTTGACTGACGAAGATTTAAAAAATGTTTAATAATATAATGAAAGGCTTATCCAAGTTTTTAAATATTTATCAAAAATATTCAGATGTGTTGAAAGGGAGAGTTGATCCAAAAATGGACATTCTGTCATCATTTACTCACCCTCATGTTGTTCCAAACCAAGACTTTCTTTCTTCTGTGGTTCACAAAAGAAGATATTTTGAAGATTTTTTTCACTGTTTCTGCTCATACATTGAAAGCCAGTGGGGTCCTAAATATCACTTGATACTTTCATTGTATGGGGAAAAAAATACATTGTTAAACTTTTTTTTTGGTGTTCCAAAAAAGAAAGAAATGCAAACAATTTTGGATGTCATGAGAGTAAGTGATGACAGAATTGACATTTTTGGGTAAATTTGTAGTAGTTAATATTAAATAACTAAAGTATCAGATCAAATTTGGCAAGCCCATACAAAGTTTCTGCCAGCACATACAGTTGAAATAGTTTTAAACAAAAGCAAATCATCAGTTTGCATGTTATCAAGCAACACACAGACAGGAAGTTGGTCTGGAACAGCATATGTGAGTGGAGTGGAACAAAAGAAACTTCCTGTCTCCTTACTCAGAGCCCTTCATAATCACATTCAGAATCTGGCATTTAATATTTTGCCATCTCTCCTTTTCAGATCCCACTGTGAATCGTTACCGTGTGCAGTGGTCTCCGGAATTCTGCAGTCACAATGGATCCAGAACACAGGAGAAGCTCATTACCCAGGTAACCAGTCAGGAATGTGTCTTCTATCCTCCCTACAGGTGCGAGGCCACATTCTGACAGCTCATACATAAGATGAATTTCCAGGGAGAGTGTTCGTGTGGTGTTCATTGATCATTCATGCTGCATAACTCACCATTTAGAGGCACATCCCAATTCCAGAAAGATTTCTTTACCAAATATGCAGAGAACTATGAGACAAAACATTATTTTAGACATCCTTAGGTTTAGATTTTCATCAGTGTAATTATGCAATTTACAATGTGAGAGATTGTGTTAAAATCTTTGACAATAAAAAAGGGGAGAATATCTTTATCAGCATTAAAATAAATCTTTCTTGACATATGCAAAACATGAACTATAGATTTCCCCATTGTGGCCCACAGCTATGCTGGATGTGGTGATAGGTGATCAGTCATCATATTTCTACTTGAATTCCTCTCAGTGGAGTTGGAATAAATTCTCACTTTTGCTTTCTTCTCATGTCACTGAGCAGGAGAATTTCGCCAGCCTTCCTGGCCTTCAGTTCTCTTGCAAGTATAAAGTGATCATCCAGCCTGTAGGATCAAAAGGCAGAGCCCAGGCAGAAAGCACGACCTTCTACACCCCGTCCTGTGTTACTATCCAGAGCAAGAGTCCCAAACCCATCCCCTGCTCCACAGTCTCAGGTAATTCTGAGATTTAATTTCTGAGAACAAGATGAGTGTATTGCTGCAATTCATTAGCGTAATCTACAAAACTGCTTTGGTTATGAGGTATGTTGGATCAAATGGGTGGGTCAATGAAGCCAAATTTCTCTATCTTCTTGCAAATGTACTCTTTGTAATCATGAAGGATTCATGGTTTTGAAAAAAAAACATACATTACATATTTCCTTATACCTTGAATATTTTAGTGTACATACAATTATTATTATTTTTTAATATAGTGTTAAATATATTTTTCAAGGTAATTTTTTCATTAATAATTGTGTCTGCATGTTTCTGCATGTTGGGTGGATCACTTCAATTTTGTTGCCATTTTGTAAAAAAACAAAACAAAAACAAAAAAAACATACATTACATATTTCCTTATACCTTGAATATTTGAGTGTATACACTTTAAAAAAAAATTGGTGTAAAATATACTTTTCAAAGTAATTTTTTCATTAAAGGGATAGTTCACCCAAAAATGAAAATTTGATGTTTATCTGCTTACCCCCAGGGCATCCAAGATGTAGGTGACTTTGTTTCTTCAGTAGAACACAAACGAAGATTTTTAAGTCAAAATAAACATCAAATTTTCATTTTTGGGTGAACTATCCCTTTAATTATTGTGCTTCATGTTTCTGCATGTTGGGTGGATCATTTAAATGTTTTTGCCATTTTTGTAAAGAAAAAAAACTAGAAATAATAATAATAATAATAATAATAATAATATTTCTTAATAAAATAGATTATGCTAAACTTTCTTCTCAACAAATTAACTATAATTCAACTTAGCTCAACTCAACTCAATTCAAGTTTTCATTTTGACATCAGGGCAGTTGTGTCATTGTAACATATTTGACTTTTAAATTTGAAATTTAAAAATGAATTTTAATATAGAAAAAAAAGGTCAAACATCACAGTGTTTTTTTTTTTTGGAGTGTTATGCACTTAAGCCCTATATCTATTACTAGTATATGGTTTCATGTGTCTTATATGAATCTTAATGTTCTTTCAATCAGCAGTTGTTCCTCCAAAGGTCCTGGTCAAGGCAGAGAACCTGACGGCAGCGTTCTCGGTCTACATGGGGAACGTGACAGGCCTGTTCTCATGGGTGGTGGCCATGCCTCAACCGCCACAGCAGGTCACAGGATATCAGGTCACATGGGCAGAGGTCATCACAGAGAGCCGCAGAAATAATTTGCCCAACAGCCTCATATCCCAGTCTCAAATCCTGCCTCCAGTAAGTCATGTTGATAACGATTGCTGGTCACAAGCATACAGTATGTTGTGTTTTGCACACTGTTCACCAGCATTGGATATGTTTTCGTTTTGGGCACTAGTGTGCTGGCCCAGCAGCAAGACCACCAAACCGACATACTGTAGAATTCATACAGTTCTGAGTTGAATTCACACCATTCTAAACTCAGTTCATGCTGTTCTATTTTAGCTGTTTAGCTTTTTCCATAAATTGTTCTTAGAAACTACTAAATTTGATAACTAAGCCATAAATGTATTGTATTCATTGTATTAATATCGAAAGTTCTTCTACAGTGTCGCTGTTTTTTTTCTGAAGTTCTTCTACAATGTAGACTACCGTTCAAAAGTTTGGGGTCATTTTTTAAATACATGAATTATTTTATTCAGTAAGGTTGCATTAATTGTTCAAAAGTTACAATAAATACATTTATAATGTTAAAAAATATTTTTTTGGACTTTCTAAAAATTTATCAAAGAAGCCTGAAAATGTATAAAATATCGTATATAAAAAATTTGAAGCATCACAATATGTTTTCAATATTGATAGTAATAAAAAATTTTCTTGAGCAGCAAATCAGCATATTAGAGTGATTTCTGAAGGATCATGAGACACTGAAGACTGGAGTAATGATGCTGAAAATTCAAGTTTGCCATCACAGGAATAAATTACATTTTAAAATGTATTAAAATGCAAAAGAGTTATTTTGAATTGTAATAATATTTCACAATATTACTGTTTTTACTGTATTTTTGATCAAATAAATACAGCCATGGTGAGCATAAGAGAACATGAAAAAATCTTTAATCTTTCGATCCCAATCTTTTGAACAATAGTGTATTTGTATTTTAATTCTTTCTCAGACTCAAATTTGAATGAACTAAAATATCTTCTCTTTCTTCACAAATAGGAGCGTAATATCTTGGTAGTTTCTGGTCTTCAGTTGGCATCTCTCTACAGACTTGAGGTGCAGGTTATCACAACAGGAGGGCAAGGCCCAGCAACCTCCAGAACCTTCCAGACCCCAGCTCACAGCAAGCCAGTCCTGCATTACAGTAAGTTATTGAAACTCACAAGATGACATATGCGTACCTCCACAGCACATACTATTTTGAAATAGCATCACCACTCTTACTTATTTTACAATTTATCATTGAACATATTTTGCGGACACTGACCTCTCCAGTGCAAAGAACTGCAGCCCAATACTTAAATCTTAATAAGGGAGAGCTGAAAAGACATTCTTGTTCATCTGAAGGAAAAGGTCAGGGGGTGTATGAGAGGTCAAATGTTGTGTGCAATTGGCCCCAACTCTTGATGTGCAGGTCAACCAATAAATCATGTAATTGAGATGAATTGCTTTTCCTCTCTTGACTCTAGTGTATATTTAACTTCGCAGAACCCAGGATGAAGAAACACCATCTAAGGGCGGTGATAGAACGGCACTGAAGACCACACTGCAATGAATCATCCTGGACCAGAACTGACTCCTCAGGAACCAGACGAACCAAAGAACAGTTAATTGCGAATCGCGTTTCAGCCTGAGCCAGTCAGCTGCCTCATGACTCAACATGAGGACCTGCTGTAATCTGAAGATCAAATTTTGGTTGACGTTACGATATTTAAAGCCCCAGTAATTTCTTGTGGGGGATCAGCTGCCACAAACTAATTAGAATTGAGTATGCAACAAAGACTAGGGCATCAAAAGCAAAAGCCAACAAAACAAGTGCAAATACAAAAAAAAAGAAAAAAAAAAGGATTTGGAACTGTAACTTTGTGGTTGTATGCCTAAAAGAAATGCTTTGAATTGCACACTCCATTAAAAATGGTTACCCACACCCTAAGCACTGCAAATGGAGCCTCTTTAATGCAATATAGCATGTAATGACTAATTTGGTTTGACTTGTAAATAAGCCTGACTCAATACAACTGTTTGTGGTTTTGCATGTGTTCGTTAAGCATGGAATTTTACTGTTTGTATCGCCATTGTGTCAATAGCAACAAATGAGGAATCAATGAAAAAAATATTGCAGCTCTTTAAAACGAAAATGTCATTTAAGTTTATGAGGGTTTTGTGTGATGTGTGCTCAATATGCTGTAGAGATATGTTTTGCAGTCATGTAATTCCTGTATATACTGTATGTTTTTTATTTATTTATGCAATACAAATGTGTTATGTGGATTTGTAACTGTGTGAATGCATGAATGTGTGTGTATGTGTGTGCGCCTGTTCCCCCAGCATCATTCACAAACTGACAAACCCTTGCAAGGAGATTTTGTATAAATATATTTGTAAATTCCCATAGATAATGAATATTAATGTACATATTTTATATGAATAAAACTGTTAAACCTTGTTTCCCTTTACCAAGCTGGTTGTGTATTTTGTAATTACAAGGGTGAATATAATAAAATGGGAGTGAACAGTGCGTTATATAAATTTATCATGCCACTTAAGCAATATTCACTCAAACCGTATATTTAAAATACACAAATTCTCTAATAATATACATATAAACGCTACCAGAGTGAATATGAAATGTAAATAACCTGTTTACCTAAATCTATCATGTGACACAAAGCAATATTCAATTGTATATATGTAAAATAAAATCTATGCATGTAACATGTATGTGGCTAGTATACACAAGCACAAGAGGACGGATAAATCCATACAGGCTTTAATAAATCCAAAAAGAGATCCAAACTAAGAGTAGCATCCACAGCTCAGGCTTGACATCAACAATAGCCGACGATGAAAGACAGAGCATGAACTTAAATAGAGGCAGTAATGAGACATGAACAGCTGAACAAAATCAGTATGGCATGAACCCCCACCCCCAAGAAGGCAAGTTCTCACACCGTGGTGACAAGGAGGATGAGTTGGTGAAGGGATGGTGAACAGGAGCAGGCAAAGGGATGGCACACACAGGCAGAGATGCAGAAGGAGGCTCTGGAGGAGGACGGTTGACCGGGAGAGTGCCAAACAAAAAAAATCCTAGGTGGTGCAGATAGTGGGGATGCCAGAGAATGCCTTGAGCAGAGGCAGGTGGATGATAATCCAGGCCACAGCCAAGAATGTGCCTCACGGCAGGAACAGGAGGGAGAAGCCACGGAGATGTAGAGACAGACACCACTATGGGGAGACCACCTCGTAGCCAAAGGACTGAAGCCACGAAGGGACTCCAGTGACCTAGGAGGCCGTGACGGAGATGCAGAGACAACCCCCCGAGATGGCAGCAGGGATCCAGAGGGCTGAGGTTGAGCTGGAGTGACCGAGGGTGAGGGCGTAGCCTAAAGGGGGTGGGGGGTTGGATCCACATGGGGGTGGAGATGGGTGGGTTTAGGGATCAGGGGATGGAGACGGGTAGGTTTAGGTATATGTAAGGTGGGAAGAGTTGGATTTGGATCCAACCTCACTCCCTGGATCTTGTGTTCTGCAGTGAGGACCATCTCGGGCGATTCAGGGTATGATGCTAAATTTGAAAGATTGAGGAACTTTTCCACATGTTCCTCAAGGGAGCGGTCCCCCTGCTGCAGGAGCAATAGTCTAACTGCAGGGAGGTACATTGTGACAAAAAAAAAAGCGAATTCCCACAAAAACTTACGCTGCTTACTTCACTTTGTGGCCGGGTATTCTGTCACACATATGTGGCTAGTATACACAAGCACAACAAAGAACACAGGGATAAATCCAAACAGGCTTTAATAATCCACAAAGAGATCCAAACTAAGAGAGAGTAGCATCCACAACTCAGGCTTAACATCAACAATAGACGACAGTGAAAGACAACAAAGCATGAACATAAATAAGGGAAGTAATGAGACATGCACAGCTCAACAAAATGAGTGATCAGTTAACATCCATTACAACTAACCAAACAAAGGAAAGGCAGTGCAAACTGAAAACAAAGTCCATGTGATCTGTGTGAAAGTGAAAATATAAATGCCACCAGTATTCTTTTTACTACTAAAACTCGGTTTCATACAAAACAATCAAGACTAGGAACATTTCCAGTCCTTGACAATAATTACACTGAACAAAATTATAAATGCAACACTTTTGTTTTTGCCCCCATTTTTCATGAGCTCATATATAATTGTTAATTTTTCATTTTGATGCAAATGTACACACTACTTTGAAGCAAAAAAACATCCAGATTGAGAGTAATGAAATGCTCTGTTGATACAGCTACATTGTGTTTTGCTTCTATATGTTGTGGTTCAGTGTGTGTGTGTGTGTGTGTACGCGCAAACAAAGCATTCATAAAGCCCTAAGCTCATGGGACAAGTCTATGGTTACTCAAACATATACATATGCATGCAGGCAACTCTACCCTTGTAGCTCTGCAGTCACTTTCATTAGAATTCAACTCTACATCTGGCCCTCGTGTCACAACAGTCGTGTGTGTGTGTGTGTGTGTGCCTGTTTTTTATATGGAATATTGATGTGCCCTGTTGTCATTAAGCCTTAGAATAACGTCAAAACAAAAAGACAGGAGACAATGTGGAATTACGTATACAATATTAATTTGTGTAGATCCTCAGTGAGATTATATGGTATGTTGTACGTTCACTACAATATACTGCAGATGTTACACAATACAATGGACCATTCCATGCTACAATCACCAGCATATGTTTTAGCAATATCACATGAGCAGGAGGTCTGTTATTGCCCTGATATTCAGACCAAGAGCTTTTAGCATGATTGTGAGTGTGATTTCTGCTTTTAAATAAAATATATACTGCCAGTTACTTTGTTTATGTTTGCTCTGCCAACGAAGAGGTTCAAACAACGTCACAGCAGAATCAATCATAGCTCATCTTCGAACAACACACAGCTGGTGTTTCATTCTTGATTTAATCTGTTTTGAGTAAATCATTTGAGTGAAGGATTAAAAGACTCACTCTTTAAGGCAGTATGAATAGGATATGAAGTATGAATTCATGTTTTTTAATAAATCGGTTGAGCGATTAATTCAACGATCCTGTCCCAAATGTCACCCTAAAGGTGCATTTTACTGTTGCTCTGTGAAATTTCTGGGGTGAATCTCAGTCACTTCAATAGGAATCCATGCTATCTGGAGTTTTGTGCAAGGGCGACAAAGTTCCCCCCACAGATTTAGTTCATGTTCAAATTGGTCAAGTTAATTCACTGTTCCAACCAACAGAAAGTTTGGTGTGCATGCCTGGTTTAAGCTGATATGCTGATATTTTAATGGTTAGATTTTAAATGGTTCTTTATTAGAGAATTACATTTTTATGGTTTGATTTTAAATGTTTTTTAAATGTTTTTTTTTTTATAAGAAAATTAAATGTGTATCTTATCTGTCTAATCTCCCTGAAGGAGTGTCTGAAAAGTTGTTGTTTTGTCACACTGTCTGATAATGAGGCACATCACTACCAACCTCAGTTTAATCATTCTCTTGTCAGTGAGGCTTCAGTGGATTCAATTAAGTCAGTATGTTTGCTAACAGTACACTGCTGACTCTTTCTTCAAATTCCTTCTTTACGTCACAGTAACAACTGATTTGTATTTCGAACCTCTTTTTGCCCCTAAGCGAAGCCTTCCTCTGAGCCCACACTTTCATGACATAATGGCACTTGGACTGTCAGTTAGAACTCTGCTGCGAAGCTCACTTCAGCAGAAGTACTCAACAAGGGCCGCAAAGGGGGCGCTCATGAGCACACTTCTGAAAAATAAATACAAATGGGGCGCCCTACAGTCTCGTACGCGGTTGTAAGTCTGCAAGTGCTCATGAAGTGTTCTATTTAGGACAGGGCCAATAACTCACTCAAAATTAAAGACAGCTTGTTCCTGTACGAATTAGTGTGTTTAACAAATCAGTTGAGTTACTGTAACATAAGGACGGAATTTGAAGAAAGAGTCACTGAAAAATTCCCACAGGTAACCCAGCTAACAAAAATGTTCTAAGAACGTTTTGCTGACATTACCATAAAGTTATGACAATGGTATTTCTGAATGTTCTCCAAACATTAAAAATAAATAAATAAATAAAAACATTTATTTATTTCTTGGTCATGCAAAGGTTAAGATAACATTCCATTTGATCACTTTGCAAACATTATGGGAACGTTACTTGTGAATGTCCTCCAGCTAATGACCTGAGCTAACATTTTTAGAACCCTTTTGAAGACAAGACAACTTTGAACAAATGTTCTATTAATGATTCTTGAAGACCGTTCATAACTTTGAGAGAATCTTGCCAGAATGTTCACCAAAGTTCCAAGAATGTTCTCTGATTGACAGTCTGTCTGGAATGTGCAAAAAAGACAAAAACTGATTCAAACATTGGAAAGTATATGGTATAACCAGTTTACCAGCATAATCCGCATGGAAATTAATATTGGTCTAAATTGATTTTTTTCAGCAGGCATCTATTCTACACAGAGGCTTGGTGATGGTTATTACATGTGGCTTGTTTGGATGGTGGAGTATGACTTCCATATGTAGTACCTTGCATGTCGCGTGCGTGTGTATGCCTGGGTTAAGCTGATATTTTTAGACTTTAAATGGTTCTTTATTAGAAAATGAAATATGTATCTTATCTGTCTGAACTCCCTGAAGGAGTGTCTGAAAAGTTGTTGTTTTATCACACTGTCTGATAATGAGGCACATCAGTTTCAACCTTGTTTAAGGTAATCATTCTCTTGTCAATGAGGCCTCAATGGATTCAGTTAAGTAGAAAATATTGCTAGTCGTTTGAATCCGGGCCTAATGTTAGTATGACTGATATAAAGCCTGTCTGAATAAATCGATGGAGCCCTGCATGTTGCATCTGGAGCACAGTGAGAACGTTAGAGAATGTAATGGCCTGGTTGGAAGTGTCTTCTTGCTTCCCTGCTGAAGTGTTGAACTGTGCCTCAGGATTTATGAGTGCTTCTGGACTCTGGTGACCCAGAGACAGGGATTTAGAAGAAACAGAGAGAAGGAAGGGTGGGGGTTAGAGAGTTTGGGAAGACTCGATCCGCTTGCAACACATTTATGATGCTCCAGAGAGTGGCCGGTTAATGGTAGAGAGAAAGAGAGAGAGAGAGAGAGAGAGAGAGAGAGAGACTAAAAGGGAAGCAGCATCAGGAAGAAGGAAACCTAGAGGGGAGAGAAGCAAAGGAACCAAAGGGGAGAAGAGGCAAAAGAGGGACAGTGAGAGAAGGAGAGAATAGATGACTTCAGGGACCGAAAGTGTGAGCAGATGAAATATGTATCAAAATACTTCACACTTTTTAAGCCAGAGGGAGATATGTTTAAGCCAGAGGGAGATATGATATTTCCTCCTCCCACTTTCCCA